ACAAAGCCGGTGTTGTGCGGCCGGGCGGGACTCAGCCGCCTCTTTCCTTCCCGCGCCAGGGCCGAGTCCTGGTGCCGCGGAGGATGTGCTGGACGCGGAGAACAAGCGCATGGCAGACAGCCTGGCCAGCAAGGTCACCCGCCTCAAGTCGGTGAGTGGCCGAGCGCACGCAGTGAGGGGAGGACGGAGCATCCGTTGTTCCCGCGGGGGGTCACCACAGAGGCTCCCCGTGTACCGGGACCCCGACCTGTTGGTTAACTTCCCCTTGTGAAACGCCAGGGACGTCTGTGAATTGCTGCTTCTCATCTGAGGTTTAGCAACGGCATCCAAAGGGAATGGTGTGGTTGTCACAGCACGCAGGGAAGGAGTTTTAGGCACGGAGAGACACATCAAAGCTGCACAGGGGGGTAGTGCTAAGCACAGCTCCTTGGGGAAAAGGTCACAATAAAGAGGCAGGTAAAGTAGTTCTGAATAATACACGTGTCTCTGTGTAAGTGGTGGTGTTAAAGCTGCTTTGCTCCTACTAACATCAAGTACTTTGATTTAGAGCTTAATAAAGTCAGTGACTCGCCTGGTAAAAGGGAAGACTCGGTCCCTGCTGTTGTGTTCCCACCTTTCAATGCTCCTGCCCTGTATGTGGCAGGTTTGGACAGTCCACCTTTGTTTTCAGTGCTGCAGAGCTGAAAAAGTTCAACAACCCAAAACCAAAGTGAGAATCTTGTTTCCTTGACAGAACAAGCCCGGGGTGGGGGGTGCCAGGGAAGCTGGGGCTTGCTTTTCTAACGTGCATTCACATGTCACCAGACACGTCAGAGGTTCTCTCTGCACAGGAGGGTGTTAATCCCTGTTTCATCCCTATGTAGCTGGCGCTGGACATCGACAAAGATGCTGAGGAGCAGAACCGTTACCTGGATGGCATGGTAAGGAACCAACCACTTGTAGAAAGTGACCTTTGTGTGCTGGCTCTCAGTGAGCAGCAGCTCCAGGTTAACAGACAAAGTTAGATCCCAGCATTTGGTTTGGCAAACCAGGAATGTAACTGAACCCGATGGATTTCTTGGTACGCAAACATCAGGCACTTCAGTGCTGGCAGTGTCACTTTGTCCAGGGGGGTGACAGGGTTGGTTTCCAGCATCTGGATAGACTGATGTAGGGCAGCATTCTCCAGGAATGCAGATGGGGATCATCTCCTTCCTGGGGATGAAAAGCTGCCTCCTGTGGCTAATGCTGGGAGATGGGCCTGTTCCTCAGCTGCCCTGGTGGTTGTGGTGTTGCTGTGTAGATCTGTAGGGTTACTGACTGTAACACCTGAAACAGGCTGCCTGGCAGGGCTTGGAATCTCGGGAAGGAGCAATGCTGATGCTCCGGGTGCACTCGGGCTGGTCAGTGCCATGTTCTGTTGTCTTTCTGACACACACCGTCTGTGAAACCTAAATCACTTTCCAGAGTCATCTGCCTTTTAAAGCTTTGGTTGCTGACGGCAGATCCAGAGCACCGGGGCCAGGCCAGGCTAGCACATCCCTGGAGCAGAGGCATCACGTACTGAGGCTTTTTAGGAGAAAGGCAGTTCATGAGGGAAGGGAAGCCAGGCAGGGGTTTGAGGAGCTCAGCACCGTAGCACTGGTGCTTGGAGCACCTTTTCTGCCTGAGCTGGGGTGTGGAAGCAAAAGAACAGGTAATTGTAGTGTTGAGATCAGCTGAGTCAAAGCTCAGCTTGGAAGTGTAATAGCAGCGTGTGCTGAGAGCGTTGGATGAAAACAGGAGAATGGAGGATCCGAGTAAAAGGTGGCAGGGCAAAAGACCTTAAAGGAGAAGCCCTTATTCAGCATGAAACTGCTTCTGTTACGGAGAAGGTTTTGAAGCATTTCAGGAGCAACATGAGCAGAAGCTCTGAGTAGTTTGTGAATAAGGAAAACCAGAGCAGAAGTCAAAATGAAACTGCCTGAACTGCATTAGTTTGAGAGCAGTTTGCCCCCGTCTGGCAGAGAATGTCACCCCGTGCTGAGGGGAGAAGAGAATGATGGCAGGAGATGGCACCTTCTGTGCTCGTGAGCCCGCCTCGCTGCGTGTAATGGCACAGCTCCTGTAGGGATGTGTCCTTTGGGTGAAGGGTTCACATACTGAGTTGCTGTTACCATCTGCTGTTCGTTCTGCTGGTAACCATCTGCCTGCCCTCTGTCCCCAGGACTCGGACCTGCTGAGCGTGACCGGGCTGCTCACGGGCAGCGTGAAGCGCTTCTCCAGCATGGGGCGCTCGGGCAGGGAGAACCGGAGGCTGCTCTGCTCCGTGTCAGCTGTGCTGATCCTGGTGTTCCTCATCCTCTACTACCTGGTGGCCAAAGCAGGGACTTGAGCTGTTCTGCAGGTTTCACACGACAGGAAACACAGTGATTGACAGACCCGTTCAACGCCTTCCTCGGTCTGCCCCGAGGTGGAGTCCTTGAGGTGTTCCAGACAGACCTTCCAAATAACTTCTCTATCCACCAGCTTCTCGTCCTTGTTCTGCTGGTCTCAGACGTCTCTTTATGAGATTATGTGATTCTAAATGGATTTTCATGTATAACACATCCTGATGTTGTTAAATGCTTTAACACCTTTATCTCTTGCCTCATTGGCCATGGCTCACAGCCTGTTTTTAAAGGCTGCTTTGGTGTTACCTCCCTACTGACACTTGGTACTAGGCTTGTGAGGAGATGTGGCTCCAGAGGCTCAGATACTCATAAACCAGCTGAGCTTTGGAAGCTGTAGAGTTCAGGATGCTGCTTGATGAGGTCTGGAAGCAGGAACATGTGACTGACATTCCAGTGCGGCCACTCAGCTGATACCTGCTCTCAGCTTCCCCTTGGCCCAAAGGCCTGTTGATAGCCTTGGGATCCGTGGCTTGAAATGAAATCTGCACCGCTTTGGAATGAAATTGGCCGTAGATTTGCACCCTGATACTCCCCAGTTGTTGCAGAGGAGCAAAACTTGATTTAAATGCTAGCTCTGTCACCTCGATCACCCGTCCGGGCAACACTGGGGATGAGCCCTGCAAGAAAGGAGGGCCAGAGCCCAAAGGCCACCTCGATTTGTACACATACGATATCTTCCAGCCCCTTCCACGCAGCTGGTAACACACCCCCTTAACTAAAGCAGTGTTAAGAGAATCTGATGGCAAGAGGTCCAGTTCAGTTGTTATGGTGCACTTTGGGTAGATGTTGTGCAGGGGTTGAGGTCAAGTGAAACTCCTGAACAGTGCCGCTGGGGTGCTGGGAGGCCACGGAAGGATTGGATCAGAGGGTGGATTTCTCTGTTCATGGAGAAGGTACCCCAGGCTTTGCCTTTCACAGGACTCTGGGATCCTGCCTGCAGTGCTCATGGCACATCCCTCCTGTCCTGTCTCAGAGCAGTCGCTCCCGCAGTGGTGCCAGTTTCCTCTCCTGAGGTGCTGCACGTGGCCCTGGGAGTGCAGGAGCTGGGATTGCACCTTCCCATCACCCTCCCAGCCTTTCCCTGGTCACTCACATCACAACCCCAGCTGAGTTCTTCATAGCTGAGTTATCTCAGTCTGTCCATGACTGAAGTAATTGCTCTGGAAGTGTTGTCCTGTGTTCCAGCTGTACCAGACTGTGCCCAGACACTGCACTGGCTGGGTTGGGGGTCTAGTCTTCTGGCTTCTACCTTTGGGAAGTGCACAGGGAAGGCCAATAGGAAGGAGGCAGCAGTGACTCTCTGGTTCTTCCTCCTGCTTCTCTGGAGAGGTGTGGCAACTCCCAACTCTTTCCATTTGGAAGAACAATGGGTGAACTGATGGACTTTCAGTTCCTGAAGCAGAAGACTCCTGATGAAAGGCCATGGCACAGCCTGGTCCTCATGATGCTGGTGGATTTGTTTGCTTCTACTGTTGTAAATAAAGCTCTGGGTTTAGAATCTTGCTGAAGTGTTTCCCCCTTGTGCTCACATGTTAGCAAGGCTACGTGCCAAGATCAGATCATTCAGCTGAGCCTGAGCTGTAGAGAACCTGCTGCCTCAAAGCCCAATCTCAACGTTATCCCAGGAATCAAACACCCAACACGTCAGCACTGGGGCTTCCTCGCTTCAGGCATCACCAGCCCCTCAGGCCCTGAACATCTGCTCAGTTAATCTGTTCATCGCGGTTTAGGCTTAATATAGCCCTAATATTAAAGTGCTTTTCGTGCAGCATGCAGATGAGCAGATCCTCCCCACACACCCCCAGCTCGAGATGAATGTACAAAACATTGGGGTGTTTTTATTGAAGCTGTAACAAACCAGGACCTGGGACTCAGCAGTAACTGCTACCTGAGCGTGGCTTTGCAGCACCACTGAGAGGCGCACCCCAAATGGTTATGGCACAGAGGAACGCGTCCTTCCCTCGGGCACTCCCGATCAGCGGAGGAGCTGGGGAGTGCACCAGGCAGCTGGGATCACTGAGCAAACACGGATAATGCTTTGGTATCAATGGGAAAGGTGAAATGCTGCCAGGAACCGCTGCCTGATCCACGTGCTCCCCGTCGTGTGCCGGGGCAAGCAGGACGCAGGGCACTGCCTGAAGGTGGGATCGCAGGTCCCGGGGAAGCTGCAGGTGCCTGGGGCTGGATCAGCGTCACCTGGGAGAGGAAAAGGGACAAAACCGACACAAAACATGACCGTGGGGCCTTGTCCTCAGCTAAGGCCACCGGCATGACGTGTGTGTGCCTGGGCACTGCCCTCTGATCCCCGTCCCGGTGGCACGCCTGTTGGGAACCCCATGTCACCCCCACATCATAGAATGGTTTGGGTTGGAAACGACCTTAATATCATCCAGGTCCAACCCCCCTGCCATGAGCAGGGACACCTCACACTAAACCATGTCGCCCAAGGCTCTGTCCAACCTGGCCTTGAACACTGCCAGGGATGGGGCACTCAACTTCCTTGGGCAACCCATCCCAGTGCCTCGCCACCCTCACTGTGAAGAACTTCTTCCTTACATCTAACCTAAACTTCCTCTGTTTAAGTTCATTGAACCTAACCTTCCTCTGTTTAAGTTTGAACCTGTTGCCCCTTGTCCTACCACCACAGTCCCTGGTGGTCCCATCTCCAGCATCCTTGTAGCCCTCTTCAG